GGACCTAAATAAAAATCAAACCCTTGCTTCCTGTTTCCCTGTGTTCCTCCCTCCCCACCCTCCGACTTTGTGCTTGTGGACATCGTCAGTAAATTACTTGCAAACTGGTGAAACCGGGGCAATTCGAGAAGCCACAAATATACCAATATGTGTACCATGAATACGTGCCTTATATTACCATGAATGTAAATGATAAAGAAAGAAAGTATGAGAGATCTCATGGGATGACTGAAATACAGGCTGCAATAGTGTTTGTTACAGCTTGGAGTTTGTCTTTTTCTTACAGTGAAAGCAGAAAGGAGGGACTAACCACGAGGGGGAAGGGCTGAAACTATTAAGTATGGATGAGGTCAATGAATATTTTTCAGGACAAACAATTCTGAGGTTTTAGCAAAGGTACGTGATAAACCAGTTCAGTTGGCTAGTTGTCATCTTGTTTCTGGAGACCGTGAGATTCTCTTTTCCAGCAGGGGATGAGGAAGAAAGGGGACTATTGGTATAAATACAAATACTAAATGTCATTTCTTTCTCCTATTCTTTCTCTGACCCCAGGAGGAAAAACAAACCAACGACTACAGGTATTGTACTTCAATTTTAGTGCGAGGAAAATACTAGCACCATAAACTAGTAACAAAACCTGCTATAAACATCGGGCACTGGGTGGCAATTTTTAGTTTTACGGCCAAAAATCCCAAATCAGTAGGAAGGCAATTCTTTACAAAACAAACGAGGTGTGGAGGTAGGGGAAGGAGCTCAGGTTTCTTGACTTTCACTTTGGGAGCTCTGAGATGGCTGAGGTTGCCCCGATTATATGACAGTCTACTTTATTGACGATGGGAGTGAGAGTAGTAATCCAGCTTTAGGAGCCTTTCAAAGCCAATATCTCTTTATCAGTGACTCTGGTTACACATCAAATCCTATGTTGCCTTTTCCAATTTATGAAAGGGGCACAGGGTAAAAACAGTTTTCAAATATGACCTTTAACAAAACAAACTCTTTGAAAACCAAGGTTTTTTTTTTGTTTTGTTTTGTTTTGTTTTTTGAGAGTCTGTGAACATCTCTTGCCTCCAGGTGGTGGTGTTGGATATGCTGATACGTATCCGCACTGATCTTGATGGCTGGACGACAACGCACTGCGAGGAGATGCTGCAGCCTGTCATTTTGTGCTGTCTATTTCTCTACGTACTTGACCATGCTCCAAATCACAGCCAGAACAGGGGACACCTTTTGAAATCTGGACAGGCCTTTCTAATTCATGCTTCAAAGAGCAGTTTCTGCTTTTCTTTCTTTTCATTATGGAGTTCTCTGTGCATATTTTTAGAATCATAGATTTATTTTTAAAAAATTTACTTATTTTACATTCATTTATAATTTTCTTCCAATAACCCCCCTCCCAAACAAAAATCAAACAAAAAAGTCCTCATTATAAGTATGCAAAGTCTAGCAAAACAGATTCCCACTTTGGTCATGTCCAAAAATGTATGTTTCTCTCGGTATTTAAATTTTATCACTTTTCTAGGATGTGAATGATGTATTTCACCTTCAGTCTTCTTGACTTGGGGTTTATCATTGCATTTAGCAACATAGGTTTAAAGCTGGAAACCTCCTTGGAGGTAATTTAAACCAGGAGTTTTAAATTTTTTGTTATAGTCCCCTTTGGCAGTCTGATGAAGTCTGTGGGACCCTTTTCCAGAATAATATTTTCAACTGCATAAAATAAGATGCACAGGATTACAAAGGAAACCAATTGATTTGAAATAGTTATCAAATAATTTTAAAAAATAAGTTTACAGGCTTCAGGTTAAGAATCCCTGATCTATGTGAACCTTCACATTATATAGATGAGGAAAATTAGGGCTGGAGCAGGTAAGTGATTTGTTCAGTCACAGGTAGTATCCAAGTCAGAAATGGAACCCATGTCCTCTGCCTCCAAAATCATCTTTCTTTCCAGTTCACCATATTTGTAGCCAGCATGGGATGTTAGTGAAAGATACTCCAGTCCGCTGATTCTAAGAGTCTCTCTTAAAGAACATCTTGCTGATGGGTCAGGAAGTATGATAATTAAATTTCAATAATGAAAGACCAGAAGTAGAAAAGGAGAAGGTTTTTTTTTTTTTTTATTGAATCATACCATTTGGAATTCTTTCTGGGATTAGCAATATCAGTGCTTCCATGCAAGTCACTTCAGATCGCCTTGCCTGTTTGTATCTGGAATCCTACCAGGAGTAACACCACTGAGTCTTCCTGCTGCAGGCTTCTTTAACACTGCACCTCATTTCCTTCTACTGTCATTTTCATTCATAGTTAAAGTGAAGTGAGTTTTGTTATATGTTTTGGGTAGTAAACTGCTAAAAGTATTTGAACACCTTGTAGAGAAAAGAGACCCAAGGTGAATACGGGCCTAGCCTCACTCTAGCTGCATCATTCATATTTTAATTATAATTTTTATTGGATATTACAATTCATTTTGGAGGGTTCTATTGCCATTGACAGTTAGTATTAGTGACATTTTCCCATCTGTACTTAGCTCATATCTATCAGAACATAATTAAATTGATAGTGAGCTATCTTAAAGTTAGGTACAGACCTTGGGTTTTAACATATTCATGATGGAGCTCATCTAATTTCAATGCATGTTACCCTTACTGAAATCAATAGTTAGAACATGAATATAAGCAAAGTCTTAAAGAATTGTGAAGGTTTAAAGAGAGTCATGTAGTATAACATCATGGAACCTACCTCATATCTATTAATAGATTAGATTTAAGGAAACGAATGCTGGTTTTTAGATAATTATTTAGTCTATTTGACTATCCCCCCAAACCCCAAATGGGATCATGAAGAATCACACAAGTCTGAATAGCAACCAAAACTTGCTACTCTCTAACTCTCCAACGTATACTCAACTTGTCCTAGAGTGTGACTCATTATAGTGTTCAATTGTCTAATTCACAATTTATATCTACAAAGCTTTCCTCTCTCCCAGGCTCCAGCTTCACATCTCCAACGGTTTACTACGTATCTCCAAGGAGATAGCCTGTCATTACTTCAAACTCAATGTGCCAAAGTTGAACTCATTACCACACAACTTAAGTGCTCCTCCCTCCACGATTCCCAGTTTCTGTCAACAATTCTATCAAGTTATTTCTCTTCTCTTTTAAGAGTCCTATATCTACTAAATTACAATCCTGTTAATGCTTGCTTTTCAAATTTTCTTTTCCACCACATGTCCACCACTCTACTTTGTCCAGTTTTTTGCTACTGCCAACAGTGCTGCTATAAATTTTTTTATATATGGAAACTTTGTTTTATACAGGCATTTTTATTGCACTTTACTTTATTGAGATTCGCAGATACTGCATTTTTTACAAATCGAAGTTTTGTGGCAAAAACTGTGTTGAGTAAGTCTATTGGTGCCATTTTCCTAACAGCATGTACTCATATCGTGTCTGTGTCACATTTTGGTAAGTCTTGCAATATTTCTATTTTTTATTTTTATTTTTTTTTATTTTTAGGCAATTGGGGCTAAGTGACTTGCCCAGGGTCACACAGCTAGTAAGTGTCAAATGTTTGGTTTGAGGCCGGATTTGAACTCAGGTCCTCCCGATTTCAGAGCCAGTGCTCTATCCACTGCACCACCTAGCTGCCCCCCCCTAAATCTTACAATATTTCAAACTTTTTCATTATTATTATATCTGTTGTGGTGATCTGTGAGCAGTGATTATTGATATTATTGTAATTGTTTGGGGATATCATGAACCACACCCATAAAAGAGGGTAAACTTAATCAATAAATGTGTGTGTTCTGATTGCTCTACCAGTTGGTGGTTCCCCTATCTCTCTCCCTCTCCTCAGGCCTCCCTATTCCCTGAGACACAACAATATTGAAATTAGGCCAATTAATAACTCTACAATGGCCTCCAAGTGTTCAAGTGAAAGGAAGACTCATTCAATGAGGCAGACTTCATTGTTGCCTTATTTTAAGAAACTGTCAGAGCCACCCCACCCTTCAGTAACCACCACCCTGATCAGTCAGCAGCCGTCAATTCCAAGGCAAGACCCTCCACCAGCAAAAAGATTATGACTCACTGAAGGCTCAGATGACAGGTTGCATCTTTTATCAATAAAGCATTTAAAAAATTAAGGTATGTATATTTTTTTAGAGATAATACTATTGTACACTTAATAGACTATAGTAATAGTATAACTTTTATATGCACTGGTAAATCAAAAAACTTGTGACTTGCTTTATTGCAGTGGTTTGGGCCTATAATTGTCTTCCTTGGGCTCTATGCCTAGTAGCAAAATCCCTGGGTCAGAGAATATGGAGATTTTTAGTCACTTTGGTTAGTTTAATTCCCAATTGCTTTGCATGATGGCTGAACCACTCTACTTTGATACACCAATGGTGTATTAGTGTGCCTTTCTTTTCATAATAATTCCATCATAGACTGTTGAATATTCTTGTCTTTTGACATTTTTGCCAATCTGTTAGATGTTGGCCATAAACTGAAGACCATAGGGACACAAATTATATTTTTACTCATTGCATTTACTCATTATTCATTGTATTTTTATAGTAAGAATATCAATATGAATATAGTTAATTTCCTCTATGTAGAATATCAACTTGTTGGTCATTAAAGATAACATGGGTATCAAGAGAGAAATTAGCTTTAGCTTAACAGTTAAGAACTGTGTGATTCCTAGCAGCTTTTATTCCCCTGTCCATCACTTTGACTCGTATTGCTGAAGCAAAGGGGGCCACTAAACATAATAGGCATTTAATAACTGCATGTTGAATGAATCATTGTTTGAATGCATTCCCTGAGACATTAAAATATCTACATCTTTCAGGATTTAGTGTATAAGAATTTCTTCATTTTAACATAGTGGCAGGAAATTAGTTAATAATTCTTATTTTTCTTATGACATTATCTATTTTAAAGGTGCTAATCAATTAATGCTCTTTTTAACTGAGAAGAGAGGGTATTGCTAACTTTATCCTTTGCCAAGAGAGAACACTGACCACGAATAGTAAACCATCCCATGATATAAATGGGAAGGTCAACTATTAGTGCTCACTAAGACTAATGCTACAATATGTGCAAACTATGAGATGGCATGGGATGGTAGAGCCAGATGGACAAGTCAGGACACTGAATTGGGCACTGATGTTTTCTCTGCTACACTGCTTTGGAAAGACCAAATTACTACTTGATAAGAACACATCAATCTCCTACCAGGGAGCTGGTCTACTGTAACTCAAGGCTCATGTGAAAAATGACCTTTATGGACATACCACCATTACTCTATCTTGAGATCCTTCAGCTCCTTCTTTCCCTTAACTCACCATTAAATGTTTTAGTGAATGTTTGGCAAAGTTATTCATATTTCCAGAGGCAGAACAGTCAGCCAACAAGCTAACATTAGTCCTAACATGGACACTTCCTAAGCTTCCAGTTAACAATTAACAACACAACTCTGATTCTGAGGCAGCTAGGTGGTACAGTGGATAGAGTTCTGGTCCTGGAATCAAAAAGACCTGGATTTAAATCCAGCCTCAGACACTATTTTTGTGACCATTGGTAAGTCACTTAACCTCTGCTTGCCTCAGTTTTCTTATCTGTAAAAAAAAAAAAAAAGTAAAATAATATCATCTACCTCCCAGGGTTGTTGCAAGGATCAAATGAGATAAAAATGTGAAGTGCTTTGTTAACCTTAAAGCACTATATAAGTTATATCATTACTGCTACTATTATTATTACATTATCATCTCTTTATAGACATAGTTTTCCAATCCTGCTAAATTAAGGAAAAAGAAAAGTCAGTCAAGGAAGCCAACTTCCTTTTGTTTCTGACTCATCTATTCTGGGCACTTGGAGTGGCAGAGCACCATCCAGTGGTCAGATCACTGGGACAAGAGTAGTAAGGTCCAACTCCCTTGCAAGATTCCATGATAGCATTGCCATAAAAATTTAGATAAATTACTTAGCCCCTCAGTTCCAGTGTGACTACATGAAGAATGTGTCCAACTGCATCTGCCCATACACAATGATTGTGAAGGTTTTAAATTGAACATTTACAGTATTTTGAACTCCATAAAGCAAGATATTATATATATAAGAGATATCAAAATAAAATTTAAAAAATTTTAAATTTTTGAAATTTTAAAAAATTAGCTAGTGCTGATGAACTCTACAGAGGGCTAATCAACAAGTAATCCACTCATTTTGAGATGAAGGTCTTTTTCTTGCCATCTAGTATAACTATGCCTGAACTACTTAACTGCTTTTCCAGAGCTGTAGGTTTCAGGACTCTCACTGCCAAACATTTTTTTCATTTTTATATTCCACTCCCCTCCAACTACAACATTATCGTAACCTTAGTTTGGGGATCTTTAATCCTTTCCCCCTCCCTGATTAAATATGCTTGCTGAAGCTAAGCAAAAATATGCTCAACCCTTTGGTTGGTAGCTGAGTTTTGTTTCTTCCTTGGGTTTGCCCCAGCTGACAGACAGTACAGTAGCTTAGCTCAGGCTTCAGTGATACTTGGGGGTAAGAAATCACTGAGAAAGAGGGTCTCTTATGCTATTTGGATCAAGCAAGGATAAAGGAGTCAAGTAACTCATAAGAAATCACATAAAAGCTTGGAACTTTTAAAAAAGAAAGGTAACCCAATTGATCAGAGCTTCAGAACAAGAGCTGTGTTTGATTTTAGTCTTGACTGACATTGCTTATTCTTATATTCTTGGTTATAGACTTCTAATGATACATGAGAGGCAGTGTGGTATAATGGTTGGTGGATGGTGGCGGAGATAATACTCAAACTTAGGCTTTTTTGAGTCTAGTCTCAAGTATATCTTCTTGCATTTCCAGAGAAAGGATGAATAAAAATATTTGGTTAATTCAGCAAATCCTTGTGCATTTTTAAATATATAAACTATTCATAAAAACAGAAGCACAATGGTAAAACTTGGTTTTGCTCTTCGAGGTAAATTGTTTTGGCAAAACAAGGATTTTCGGTGAAAGGAATCTTTGATTGCATACCTTTCTCTACTTTGACCTGCTACAGCATAAGATTAAGTCTAAAAGAGGTACATAAGAGTTTTTACCAAAGAGGTTTAATATTAGAAGTACTAGAAAGATTTCATATACCTTCTATTTTATGTAAGATTTTACTCTTCGTCTTCAACTACCTCACCAAACATATTGAATCAGTTGCCACATCTCATAATTTTAATCTCTGCAATATATATGTCTTATATACCCCCTTCTCCCTACTCACACAGCCACCATTCTAATTGTGGCTCCAGTCTCTCGTTGCCTGGATTATTGCAATAAGCTCATAATTAACATCCCTGTCTCAAGTCTGTCCCCACTTCCAACTATCCTGCAGTTCCTTCCTCTGCTCAATTCCATCCCAGGCAATCTTGCTATCTGCCTTGGCACAATAATCAAATCAATATTATTGTTGTTTCTGGAAAGGAATGTAAATCAATTACCCTGTGGATCAACTCACTCTCCATGTGACTCTCCAGAGCAGAATTTTCTTCTCTGGCCACCATTTCCCTGTCTCTATTAGAATTACTCCCTCAATTTCTTGAGAGCAGTGACTTTCAAATTTTTATATTTGTATCCCTAGCACTTAATAAAATGCTTAGAATAGAGTAAGTGCTTAATAAGCACTTTTTCAATTATTCATTGATTTAAGAAAATAATTGGCCCTGATCATAGTGAATATCAAATAACATTAAAAAAACTATATTTTAGTGGACAGGATATTATTCATTACTGATATGAGAATCATTCCTGGATCAGCTGTCTGTATATGAGATTATAAATTTTTAGGATAAAAATAATAATACAAAACTAGAAGAATAAAAACGCAAAAAAAATCAGTTGCATAATTAAAACAAATTGAACAACTATACAAGTTATTGATGATTAACAATAGGATATTGGTAATAGGAAGAAGAGACATAAAACAGTTATGCTAATTTGATATAGAAGTTTAACTGGCATAAATTAATTGCCATAACAAGAAGACTAAAAGAGCCTAAAAAGTACTTAGTAAGTAAGTATGAAACTTGGCCAACAAGTGAAGAGATGTGGCAGTCAATGATATCACCAGCTTAGAATATAAACATGTTTATAAAATCTCACGAAGAAGGATGGTGCAACATTATGAGCAGTTGTCTCATAAAACAGAAGCAATGGATGGTAAGACTAGGTTAAATAAAACTGAGAAGAAAGCTTAGAAAAAGACCAAATAGACAAAATCATTCAGAGGACACTTAAGTATGAAACTGGGAGGATGACAACAATTTTTTTAAATGGAAAATATGTGCAAAGATTAAAAAAAAAAACTAAACAACTTTCATCATCAAGGGCAATGGTGCTACTGTTCCTAGACTCCAATATGACCATTTCAAATGTATGTATGGAGAAGGCATAAATGGCAGTAAGGACATCAAAGACCAGAAGTTCAGTTGAGCTGGACTAAGTGCACAGAGGAGTGATTCCATTTTGAGGGTATTGAAGTATCAACTCATAAGGTATCTAAAGATACTAAAATTGTTGGGGGAGGGAGGGAGAAATCTCCCATATAAAAAGAATGCATGTGAGAGAGTATGCATAACTGTTGACCTATATATCTACTTTCCTGTCTATGTAAAATTTTTCTGGGAGCAACATACACATATGTGTTCTTCCATCCCCCATGCTAAACTAAACAAAAGCAAACAAAAGACACCCCACTCACTTGATCACCCATTACCACTAGCTATCAGTGTAAATTTCTCATTTCTTCCATAGCTCAATTCCTTGAGAAGACCATCTACAATTGGTGTCTCCACTTGCTTTCCTCTCACTCTCTTTCTAACTCTTTGTAGTTTCCTTTTTGACTTCATCATTCAACCAAAATTGCTCCCAGAGGAAAATAGAATGCTATTTGGCGGGTTTTAGCTGGCTGTAACATATAACAAATAAGGAACTATGAAAAAGGACCACAGTAAATGATGCCATCAAAGAAATGTATTATTGAAAAAGAATGCTACCTAAAATGGTGAAATCTCCATGCTATTTCCTGGTCATATCCACATCATGCTACCAGCATATTCGTCATCATCCTGATCCTGTAACCTCTTCTCCCGAATTGTTGATTCTATCCCAGCAATATTGGGTTCTGATAGATAAGCTTTGGCCTCATCTTGCCTGGAATTATGGCTCCATACCACTTTCTAGCCACCTTTATCCCCACTCCCTTCACAGTTCCCTTTTATGTGTTATGTTGTCCCATTAGAATAGAAGCTCTTTGACAGCAAGGACTTTATTGCTTAAATTTATATCCCTAGAGGTTAATACAGGTTCCTAGCACACAATATATGCTTAGTAAATTATCTATCTGTCTGTCTCTCTATCAATCTATCTGTCCATCTACCTAACAATATATGGTAAGAATAAGAGATAACTAATAGAAAGCCACTATGCCCCAGTGATATCTTTGTGATATCTGTTAAGAGAAAGCAAGGAAGGCCTGAACATATCAGATGATTTCTCTGGGACAGACTTATGAGGAGGAATGGATAAGAATTGCACAGGAGTGGCAGGTAGAGATGGTGTGCAATATGCCTCACTGGAGGGAGCATTCACTTGAATTCACAAATCCTTTGGAGTTACTGAGCTAAGCTGAAAGTGGGAGGGGAGTTGGCAAGTACACTAGGTTATTATTTGAAGTACATACTTGTTCAGTGTTTCACATAGCTGTGATTTTGTTAGCATGGATACTCCATCTATATGGATTGCAACACTTCTGCAACTTAGTAAATGATCTTCATAATTTTCTGTGGCGGAAAAATTTATTATCCTGCCACCAATCTGGTGATACAGATCCCTACACTTAGCTAGACTGATACTCAGCTAAAAGACACTCTGGACCTGTATTTGAAGCCTTTCTGCCTTGATAGGATTTCATAAAATTTGTTCTCCATAGATACAGCCTGTAGCAGCGTCACCTCCATGGCAATGGGGGCAGGAGGAGAAATCTATACAACCTTTAAATTCCCCAATCAGAAAAGCTTCTTGTCAAATATTTTAAGTAGTATCTCATTCACATCCTTGTTCTTCTACAGTGGCAAATTTTCTCATTCCCCTCAAGGATCACTGACTGGTGAGTTTTCATATCATGAAGACAAAACTCTTTGTGAATGCTACTGCTTTCCTGTACTAAGTTTAGGATGGAAGTAAAATGCACTGCCAAACCTCTGACATTACCCATGCAATAAAAAATACAGCCATCATAAATATGGCAGCCATCTGAAATGTCTGAAGAAAATAGAAAATTTCTTTTATTTACTTTTGCTCCAGAGATATAAGATAGGAGATATATTAGACAATAGCTAACAGAAATGGTTGACTCAAGATAGAGTTTTTTTTTAAGATTGTAGGGACATCTGGGAGTGTTTGTGGGCAGCAGAGAAAAGATTAGAAAGTCTAATGATAATAAAGGGGGGCAATCTGCTGGAGGAGATTAGAGGGCAAACAAGGCAGTTTGATTTGGCAAAGGCACATCTTTATACGAGATAGAGGTAAAAGAGGAGATAGTGGGAAAAGATATCTGAACAATGTAAGACAAGGAGGGAGAAGGGGGAGATCTTGGCAAAAGATCTCACTTTTTATGACTAATATAAAAGGCAAAATTCAAATCCATGTTTTTCCTGACTCTGGGTCCAGTGCTGCTACCACTTTACCAAAGTAAAGCTTTACTGTTTTGCTTCGTCTCAGAAGTGGATATGCACAATGATAGATGAGGTTACCATCACAAACCTCTGTTCTCTTTCCTATTGCCTGAACCAGCCTTCAGAGAAGAGCTGAGAAATGGCAAGTTTCAGATGGCATTTTTAATGGCAATGTTGAGGCTGCAATTCTGTCTCCCCATACAAAGAATCAGGATCCTCTCTGTTTTGTTAAGATATGATGGCCCTGGATCCACCTATAATTTCTTTGCCCTTGAGGCATAAACCAATTTCCTGCAAAATGGCCTTGCAATTTTTTCCAATTTATTTAAGTATTTATACTCCATGCCTACATTATAAAATTATGACTGATTTCAATAGTAGGCTTCTTATAGTAATTTCTATTTTAGTTCTCACCATTGGGATCTTTTTTGGCATGACAAGTCCATAATAATGCCAAATATTGTGTGATAGAACAGAAACAATGTCAAAATACCTAAATTATTTTCTAATAATCCACAAATCACACTGACAGACTCTCTCTTTTTCTCTCTCTCTTGCTCATATGCATTTTATTTTATTATATGTACTCATGTGTGAATTTATATGCATGATTATTATTTGCTCATATAAATTCTCTTAAAGTACCAGAGAGAGACAGAAAAGAGAGTAGGGCAGAAGAAAACAGAACATTAGCCTAGCAGAAATACAGACTACATGGGATACCCAGCTTACAGCATCTGGATTCTTTTGTTAAAACTGTCTGAGACATCTCACCAAGGAACAACACCTTGGTTACTTGGTAACCACTTCTGGTGAATGGTGCTGTAAACTCTCTGGAGAGGGAGATAATTATTAGTGCTCTTAAATTTTTTAAAAGTGACTATTTAAAATCAAACACAAAACTAATAACAGATAGAATGGTAGCCTCTCCTAAGGAGCAACATATATGCAACTCTATTAATATTCACAAGTGTTGCATTAGAGGGTATCTTTTTTCCCCCAAAGCAAGCAGTGGGCACTTGTCTCAAGCTGCTCTATTCAGTTTGCTGCTGCTATGACAACTCTCCAGAGGCAAATGTCAGGTCAGCTCCAGGCATATATGTCTAGGACATAATTGCTTTGTCAGAGACCTAATAGCCACCTACGTTCACTCTCTGGAACTGCTAAAAGCTTCAGTGCCCAAGTAACTAAGTGATGTAATGTTCTTTAGCCACCCTTTCCTCCACGTGCCCCATTCTATAACCTCTAATTTATAGTTTTATTCTATTTGGCCACAGACCTAGATGCTTCTACACGTGTGCTGAAAAGTTAACAAGTGTACCATTCACAAAGCACCCATTTTGCTGTTTGGTCTCTAGTAGGTCTTTATATCTAGGTATTACCATTCTTATACTATAGAAAAAAAACTCCTCAGATCACCTGTGTTCACGAACAAAACACTAAGAGCCATTATTTCTTTTTTTTCCCTAAAAAATGTCCTGGTCACTAAGCAACATTTAACTCAAGTCAATGAGAATTTATTAGAATGTCCTCTTATAAAATTAGAGCTGCATTCATTCTTGCCAAAGAGGGATATGCAAAGAAGCAGGAAGACAAGATTTTTGCCCTTGAGATCCTTGAAAAGGAAAATAACATATTATAAAAAATACCCAGGGAACAAATTCAGTACAATATAGTCTATATAAAAAGTGCAATGGTTCATGGATCAGGGATCCAGAGAAGGCAGGAGAAATCATTTGTTCACTGAGTGTGGTAGTGTCTATATAACCAAAGAAAGCCTTGGACCTGGAGTCACAAGATCTACATTCTGGCTCCATCACTTACTAGCTTTGCAGACCCCTGTGCAAATCACTTCACCCCCTTGAGGTTGCAGTTTTCTCATTTGTAAAATGAATAAGGGGGTCATATGGACTAGATGACCTCTGAGGTCTGGCCTTCATTACCATTGTACATGACTTCTGGGTACTGGAACACAGGGAGGTTTCATGAGGAAGGTGGGGCTTGAGCTAGGTGTTCAAAGAGTACATGACCATTGGATTAGAGAAGAGGATGAATCAATCAATTAGTCGCTTACTATATTCCAGGCACTGAACTAAGTGCTGAGTATACAAAGAAAGGTGTAAAAAATTAGTTTCTGCCTTCAATCAGCTCACATTGTAATGGGGTAGAGAACATGTAAATAACTAGGTACATACAGTATCTACACAGAGTAGATAAGAGAAGGCCACTCAAGTGGAGGGAAATGCATGAATAAAGTTAAGGAGGAGGGAGTAAGCTTAGTGAATATACAGTAAATCAAGATAAATATCTGAGTGTTAAATAGCTACTCCACTCCTCAACTCCATTCTCCCAAATCTCAGGAATAATAACCAGAATAACCCCTTGTATTTGTATAGCCATTTAAAGTCTTCATTGTAATTCAACATGCATTTATTATATCCTGAGAGAACTCTCTCCAGTCTCCCCATTCCAAAACAAACAAACAAACAAACAAACAAATAACAGAAACATAATCTATCCTTATACCAGAGTGATTACATCATCAGAATAGCAAATCAGTTTTATATACTAGTAATGAAGTGGTATCAAGTCAAGTCAACAAGCATTTATTAAATATATACAATATGTCAGGTACTATGTTATACTCGGTAGTTACAAAAAAAAAAGGCAAAACAAAACAAAAAGCCTAAACATTCTCTGCTCTCGAGATCACAGGCTTATTGTGGAGACAACATGCAAACCATTATTTATTTACAAATAAGATATAAAGAGGATACATTGGGAGGTAGTTTTAAAGGAAAGGCACCAAGATGAAGGAGGGTTCTTGCAAATGGCAGGACTTTGGTTGAGATTTGAAAGAAGCGTGGGAAGCCATGAGGCAGAGGTGAATCAAGAAAATATTTTTAGAGATTGACATCTAACAAATGCTATTGAGAGGAATTCACTAATGATGAAAAGAAAAAAAAAGGTAAATAAAATTTCTCTTTTTCTTTCAGTTATGTCAAGAGTATGATACTGAGGGTAGAAGACCTGCCCTGGCCTCCAACAAACTTACTGTTGCATTATTAATTATCAATTAGTATAAAAAGGTGGCCTAACTAATTTTCTTACTCCTTACAGAATACTATTTTATCACTAAATTAGTTTATTAAATTAGAGATATCTTCTTCCAGAAAAAAATGGCCCCAAGAAGAAAATCACACTTTAGAATGAAGCAATTCATATAAGAATACTAATAATAGCCAGCATTTATATAATGTTTAAAGTTTGAAATGTATTTTACATATGTTAACTCCTTTGGTAAGTCATATAGGACCTACAGGTCACCTAGTCCTACCTCACAGATGAGGACCCTCAGACTTAGAGAAGTTATACCTTCTGTTACTAAACAGAAAGACAGAAAGTAGTGTGGGAAATAGAATAAACAACAGATTGACTCAGGCCTTATGGGCATAATATCTTTTCTAAACTTAGTTTAGTCTGTAAAAAGAAGATGCTAGGTAAAATGATGCTATGGGGTCAATTCTATCAGAATAAAGTTTAAAGTAGGTATTTGCTTTTGTGATATTAATTGAGATTTCATGACTTTACAATAGAGGTTGGATTTTATTTATTAATATTGTGGTTGTGAAATCACTTTGGGGCAACCTTATATATTAATGTATATATATATATATACACACACAAACATAATAACATGTATATATATGCTCATATAAATATATGTGTGTATTTATACAAGTATGTGTTCTGCCTCTGACACATATTGGCTGTGTGACCTTGGGAAATCAGCATAACTTCCAGTGCTCTAGTCAACTTTCTAAGATTATAAATGGAAGTTGCTAACCTACATCTAAAGAAAAAATTTTCTCACCTAGGAGTTCCCTAAGTCAATGAAATCACAGGTCCAGTCTCTATTGAGTCCTCAGAATCCTCTGATCTGATCCATTCACAGAAAGTATCCCTTCTTCAACAAATCTGGCAAATGATTATTTACTCTCAGTTTGAAGACTTTAAAAAAGGAGGAATCTGCTAGCTCTCAAGTCATCCCATTGCACTTTTGGATGCCTCTAATTGTTATGAAGATTTTCCTGCCTTAAAGCCTAAATTTATCTCTTTACAACTTCTACCTATTTCTCCCAGTTTGGCTGTCTGGGGCCAAAGAGAACAAGTATAATAATCTCTCTTCTATGTAATGAT